TTCTCTGTTTGAAAAAGACTTCTTTTGTTTCTAGGGTTGTTTCTGCCTCACACCCTGCCATAGAGGATGACTAAAAGAATCCTGAATGTCAGAAAAACAATGTCAAAAGTACAAAGTCACTGGCAGGTTCCAAAAACTACATTCTGAACTCTAGCAATATACAGATCTTCAGAAAAAGAAAAGAAAAGAAAAAAAAAGAAACATTGATAAATGGCCAAAAGGACACACTGATTAAAACTTTTTGGTGAGGATTCTATATTATTGGAATTTGCTTTGTAAAGCTATACTGGCAGAATTAAATATGAATACATGCATGTCTATTCCATTCCCTTGAGGCTGTATGTCCTGGATAGCTGCTATGGATGAGTTATTCTACTTCAGAGGTGGGATACATTTTGCATTTGATTGGATCTTATTCTTAGATAGTAGGGTTCAGAATAAAAAGTAAGCAAAATGGAATATCACAACTTCTATGGTAAAATATGCCTATTTTTCAAAGTCTTGGTCTGCAGTTCTGAATGTTGTATGCAACCAACAGAAATCCCTTTTTAGAGGGAAGCATGGAAGAATTTGAAGTAAGACTGTGTCCACAAAGAAACTCGAGATAAGTCATCATTCTTGCCACGAATATCAGAGCTGCCCTGTGGATCATATGATGTACAGTTTACACATGAAAAATCATAAAGATATTTCTGTTAAACATGCTTTTTTCCAGCAGGGGTTTCCTCTTTATATACAGTGTACACTTAGAGTAGTATTTAAACAAAGATGGGTTTTCAGATTATATATCAGATAGTAATATAGACTTATTTTTGTGATTTATTGTCAAATCATATTGTTGATTCCTAATATAGGTTATATTTGGAATGTTAATTTTAGATGTATTTTTTCAATTGATTTCATTTTTCTCTCTTTCATGAGCATACGCACATGCACTATTAAAGTACTGGTCATACACCATTGGCATTGGAGGATGTTTGTTTCAAGGGCAGAATGAGAAATCAGTTCTGAATAAAGACTGAAGTAGAAATAGTAAACATATTTTAACAACTAATTCTGATTTTGGGCATCCTAGTCTGATCATAGGCCTTTGAAGACCTGCTTTTAACTGCAGGCAGCTTTAGACAGATGGAACAATTTAACCCTGTCATCCCTGGTAATGAAAGGTGTGGCCCCAACAAATATTCTGTGATTCAGTACAATATATCTGTATCTCACTTCTAAATTAGTCGATTGACCTTAACAGAAGCAATATTTCTGAGAGCAATGAAAAACAAGCAGAGGAATAGGAAGAACAAAAGGAAGGAGGCATACAGAAAATCTTTAAAAAAACCCAGAACCAAATGTTTCTTTATTACCCCCTCCACATTTGCCTCCAGCACTGGTGTTATTCCTCTGGAAACCATGCCCTTCAGTGAACTAGTAAGGATATCTGACTACAGCTTTGTTATGGTACCAAAGAGACAATCTCCATTCACTTAGCCCTGAATTGAGATTTTGTGAACAAAAGAAAAGTTGTAGAAAGCTCTGTTTGCATAGACATCCAATTAAGCTTTTAAAAATTGTCACATTTGCCTCATTTTTGGGATCTAGAGCACAACAGCACTGAACTAGCACATGAGCAGATCAGCCCAACCTTGTCTCACTGCCAAAGCTTAGTGAAATTAAACACAAAAGCATTAATGCCGTCAACCAAATTCTCTTCGTGAAGTTCTTAGGGTCAAATCCTGAGAGGTAGTCAGCACTTCTCCATTCCAGGGAAGAACATATATACTAAAATTAGAATGATACAGAGAAGATTAGCATGGCCCCTGCACAAGGATGACACACAAATTTGTGAAGCGTTCCAGGTACCAGTAGTAACTCCAAGGCCGGATTCCACCTGGTTTGGGGAGAAGAGGAGTGTGTAAGGAGCTTTCCTATCCCTTTGTAAGGCCTATATAAAGATCAAGAGATTTACCACCCTGGTTACATGCAGGATTCCAGGTACCAGTAGTAACTCCAGGCCAGATTCAACCTGGTTTTGGGAGAAGAGGAGTGTGTAAGGAGCTTTCCTATCCCTTTGTAAGGCCTATATAAAGATCAAGAGATTTACCACCCTGGTTACATGCAGGGAAACTCAGGAACTGTCCCTCTCTAATCCCCTGGGGAACCGCAAGTTGCAAAATGAGCAGGAAAGACTGGGCAGAAGGTAGAGCCAATTCCACTATCAGAGGTGACTGGGTGTGTAAAGGGGAGTAAGCAGCAAAATGAGGGGCTGCTGTGCACAGCCTCTGCATACCCAGGAGCTGCAAGAGGCATTCTTCGTGCAAATTTTCTCCCAGCTGCCCCTTGGAGCATTCAGCTCCAATCATCCCTGGCCAACAGTCTGTGCCCAGCTGGCACAGTTTAGTCCAGGGGTGGGCAATTATTTTTTATGGGGGGCTATGCAAGTATTTGGTAAGTGGTCAAGGGCCACACTTTTCTATGGTATTAATGGAATGGCTGCAAGGTCTGGGATGGAAGTTGGGTACAGGAGATAGCTCTGGGTAGGGAACTGTCTGCAGGAAGTGGGTTCAGGCTCTAGAAGGGAGTTTGAGTGCAGGAAGGGGGAAAGATCAGGCTCTAGGAGGGAGTCTAGGTGCTGGGTGCAGTCTGTGGGTCAGGACAAGGGATTGAGTGTTGGAGGGGATGCAGGGTGCAAGCTCTGGGAAGGAGTTTGGGTGAAGGAGGGGTAAGGTGCCAGACTCTGGTAGGGAATGTGGGTGTGAGAGAGGGCTTGGGGTGCAGCTCTGGGATGGAATCTGGGTGCTAAGTGCACCCCAATATCCTCCGCCCGACCAGAGCTTGCACCTATCACCCAAACCCTCCCAACTCCTTTCCAGAGCCTGAGGCAAGTGGGGGGGAGAGACTTTGGGGGGGGGGCATTCTGGGCACCTCTAAAATGTCTGTAAATCTGACACCCCTACATACAAGAAACTTCAATTTAATATCATTGTATCAACCAAAGGGCACCACAGCTTTCATGTAAAAGCAAACACAGATCTCCCTACCCCCACGGTCCTGGGTTTCACTGTCTCCTGTTATGGTCCCCACCCTTCCACAAAGCCTCCTATTCCAGTTGAAGAAGCTCCTACCCCACAGGGCTGGGTGGACTTGGCTCCCCACTCTTGTCTTGTGACCCAGCCCCATCATTCAAGTTTGGCCTGACCACCTCTCTCTTTTTGGAGGGGAATACATGCCTAATTTGACAGAGGGGCATTGTGATAGAGCACACAGATTGCAACATCACTCCGATTTGGCCCATTCACTCCTTGGTTTCCATTTACACTGACGTAATTAAAAATAGACCTATTTCTCCAATTTAACTTTAATGCCTGTTTACAGTGCCAAAGGGGGTTTAATGTAAATGAGAATCAAGATAGTGTATCTGAATTAAGAGACTTGTTTGGATTGGGGTAGGTATGATATCTGCTCTGCTCTAAAGCCATACACTACACCTTTTATAATATCATCACTAAAGATAATTTTCTGAAAGTATGACTGTAAGCGTGAAGCAACAATTCTCATTTTATGCAAGGCCACTTGTGTGAATGTCATTTTCCTCAACTGTTATTCTTTTGTGTATCCTTCTGTCTGCAAAGTAAGCGTAGGATTCCTTGATCTTTCACTCTGGAATAGATGTTGAAAGGAGGAGAAATGTGTGTACGTGTCTGGGGGAGGGAGGTGTTACTTCATGGTTTGGCAGATACAGTACAGAACTTTCAAAAGCCTTTAATAATCTTTCAGTAAATCCAAAGGCATTACGGCCTTTTCATTAAAATATAAAAAGTGAACTTTATTACCTTATAAAATGGGATCTCAGGCAAAATGGGGATTTTTTTGTTCACTGACCAAACCTCTTTTCTGTCTGACAACAGCAATTCATTCACTTACCCTGCAACAAGTTTAAATTTAAATTTATGTTTGTGACAACATATGCATACATTCCCAGACAGCATGGGATATTTTTCAGTCTCAGTATCTTCAATTTACCCTGACTGTGCCAGAAATGATCAAAGATCAGATTAAAAAATAAACAAAACAAAACAAACAAAGCTCACATACACACACAAACAAAGGAAGTGAAACCACAAATCCACACAGATCTTTTAGTTTGCTCCCAGAATTCACACACTGAAAGTGCGACTGTTGGAAGAACATTCTGGGAACTGACATACTAAAGCTATGTCTACACTTGCAAAGTTCTTTGGTTTGTTTTTTTGGGTTTGTTTGTTTGTTTTTTGCTGACCGGTTTGTCAATGATAGAAAAGTGCTGTTTTCCACTGAGGCTGTTTACATGTGCAGTACTTGCATCAGCAATGACAGAAGTGCACTGTCCCACTATGCACTGTTCTGGGACACAAAGCATATCAGTGCTACGGCAGGGGTGGATGTGTGTCCGACAGCCACAGAAAGCAACCTGGCAGGAGGAGGGGGGGCGGGAGACAAACCGACTTCAGCCCTGCCTCCTTCACTGTCTCTGCACAGCACATTCTGTTTACCTGTCTGTGTTTGCACTGGCTGAGACAGCAGGAGCATTCTACAATGATTGATTTTGTGTCTCAGGGGCATAACAGCACCAGTTGTCAGAAAGGAGCTAAAGAGGAGGGGTACATGCTGCAGGCAGGACTGCTGAGTTTCAAAGAGAAGCCACTCCCACTCTGCATTGTGTGACAGCTCTGGAGGGTAATTAGACCAGTCAGAGCAATGAAGAGTCTTCACTGGCACAGAAGTGCAAAAGCAAAACGACTCTTATTGGGACAGAGTTTCAGCACAAAATGTGGATTTCCCGAGAAGATATTAGGGTGGGTTTTGTGCAAACTCCGGGTTTTTTGCACTAAAAACTGGCAAGTATAGACCTGGCCTAAGAAACAAATCAAACATCCCATTCTGCTTTGGGATTCCTGTGTTCAAATCAAAGCTGCCACAAAAAGTAACTTAAGTTGGAGGAGGTTTCATCCAGACCATGTATGCTGCCCCGGGTTTGTGTTTCACTCACATCCACATGCTTCAGTTATTTGGGCTGGTGGAGGTGAACCTGATTATATTGTAAATGTAAATAAGTTGGCCAATGTAAATAAACAAGAGCTCCGCCTTTAATCCAGCAAAGCACTTAAACATTCTATTGCAGTTAGTGAGATTACACATTTGCTTTACTGGATGGAAGCCTCAGAACATCCCCATCTTGCATAAATTCTATGAGGCAGTGGAGGTGGCACAAATAAGGTACCAGATGAACTCTTTTGGCATTTCTTGTGAATCGTATGATGACGTTGTCATGTTGAGTTAAATGGGAATCTTCGCAAGAAATTGTGAAATGTCATATTAATCCTTCTTAGGCCTTGTGATGTTTCCTGCAGCAGCAGTGTGATGACTGGTGGTGGCTGACTTTCAGATGGTGCAGTGGGTTGGTGTGGATAAGTGTCTGGAAGGAAAATTACATTTTGTCTGTCTGCAATTACGAAGTGAAGAGGAACAGAAAAACAAAGAAAAATGTAAAATAAAATAAATATTATCCCTTGACAATACTTAGGGTTCTTGTCAGCTTTTCCAGAAAAGTTGCACCTGTCATTTACTGTTATTGATCCTAACCCTGTAAAGCAATTATTCACATGGGGGAACTTTACACACACACAAGTAGCCCTATTGGACTAACTAGAGCTGCTCACATATATAAATAAACACAACCTGTATATGTAAGTGTTTTGCAGGATCACGGTAATTTTTTGCAATCCAGAGGCATTGCTATGCTCTCTCCAGGCACAGAGAACTTCATGGATCCAGAGTACCTGTTCAAAGCTTGCAACTAAAGTAAGGAGTCTCCTTATGAAATACATGATTCCACAATTAGATACATATTTGGGATATTTGCATGTTGATATATGTAGGGAGCCTTCACTGCAGGAATATATGAGTCTCTCCCACGTATACAAGGAAATGCCCAAGGCAGAGACTTCTCAGCTGGAAGGAAGTGATTTATATTTAAATGTTCCAAACCCTTTCCTTGGTTATATATCCCAGGACTTGAGAATTTATTACTAAGAAGATATACATTTGAATTGTCTCAAACTTCTGAACAATTTCACCTAATTCCCTCTAAAATATTCAAAAATGGGCACAAACAAACACACATTTCCTCATTTGTGATACACCAGTGTGCCTCCATTGTGACCCTAAGCTTTGCCTTCAAAATGTGCATAAGTTTGTGCTTACAAATAGACATATGTACAGGCAATCTGGATCAATGTGCATGCAAGCAGTCACCTACTTATACAGAAAACTCATATTGAGTTTTATATATATACATGTTTAGAGTGTTATTCAGCCAGCCACATGTTACGATGCTAGACAAATATTTTGTCATTAATCAGATGAAACAATATATTTCTTCAGAAAGTGACAATGGTCCAGTTCAAGTAAATGGATCAAATTGTCTCACAAGAAGGTTGGTATTGAAACTGTGAAATAGCCAGCTCATCTGCTCAGTACAATTTCTGTAACTAGCTCTGTTGCAGCAAGTTCTGCCCTTGGAGAAGCTGAATGATCTGGTGACAACACTACTTATGCCCAAACTAAAGGGTGAAGACCAAACAGAGCATTACAAAGGCCTACAGTGCAGCCACCTCAGTCTTTAATAGAGTCCAGGCAAGTTGAACCAAGACTAAGCATTTAACCCTGGGGTCATATGCGGTGGCTGAATCCCTGGTTTGGGGAGACTAGCCCCCACCCCTTTTGCCCAAGGCTCCGTCCTTTCCGTGCCCACCTGAGCCCAGACCCCACCGTGGCTGGCCACTGGCCCCTGCTCCCAGATTGTACTCCCAGACCTCCCTGGAGC